GAAGTTTGGGAGCTTGAAAAGGTGGAAACAGAACAAAATATCAAGTGTTAGCACTATACTTTAAAAGTTACAGACCTGAATGGTGAGATTCAGAGGAAAGATCAGAAAAAGCTGGCAGGAGAAAGAAGAGAATCATACTTTCATAACAAAGCGCGAAGACCTTAAGCTTTTGACAAGTGGTTGAAGGAGGAAAAAAGTTTTTGTGGTTCCAAGTAGGTAGTCTGAAATTTTTAATTCATTTCAAAGAGGCCTTGTTATGTTAATTTGTAGATACTATCAAAGTTAGAGAAAAGTCATACTGCTCTCTGGGATTTTCGTTTGGGGTATTTGTTGGTTAAGTATATTCCATTCTGGTTACCCACAGCTGTGAAAGCTTGACTGAGAGTTCTGTCCCTTCTGTAGTGCAGATTGCTTCAGAGAGTGTTGTCACCTCTTCTGTCACTATCTTATCCAAAGCGAAATACAGCTTTCTGAATTGCTTTTTTAAGTGCAGTCATTTATAACCTTTTTTATTTTATGTATATGTATCATATACATATATTGTATGTATATGTACCTTGTGCATTTGTAAGGAAGAGTCCTCAGCCCAGAGTTAAAACAAATATGAGTTTAAAGGAGCAGATTTTTGAAATAAAGACTACAGTATGTCTGTCTGCAATGAAGACAATAATTCTTTATTAAAAATGCAAAACATAACCTTAGCTAGTATTCAGTTGGTAGAGTATTAGCTCTTAAAACTCTTGAAAGGGAAGACAGATTGCTTTGAAACATGAGAGTGAACCCCCATTGTTTCACTGTTTAACTGCAACTTTTCTTAAATTGGCTAATAAATAATTTTATAACGTTGTAATTAGCTAAGCATGTTCTTTCTATTACAGCTTCTATACTACAGACTTGCATTTTAACATAATTCTTTAGTGCCCCATACACTGTTATACTTCTGACAGTTGAAAATAGAGTAGAATTCTTTCTCCATTTTTTGTGTCTGATTTTGGTTGCACAGTCGCTCTTCGGGTTTCCAACAGCATTGTATTTCCTAGTTCCACTTTATGGTCTTTCTGTTTTGTGAAAGCCTTCTTCAATTTTATATATTTACCTCAGTGTGTTAGTATGATAGTGTAAGAGGTGGTTTTTAGATAAAAGTAGGTTTTGTTAGACATCTGCTCCATTTTTAGATTCATCCTTTTGGAGAGCTGCAATAAATCATTACTGAGTTAACTTTTATTTTTACTGAAATTAAAGCCATCACTTTAGCAGGCCAAATTAACTATTAGAGTGCTGTTCTTCTCATACTCATAAATTCCTTACTGTGGCAAAATAAAATGATCAACAGATATTGAAGATTTCATTTTGAATAAATACAGAGTAGATATCTTTGTCATTATTTTATTCAGGACTTCAATTTAAAAATAGGAGAATGCTTTTTACTTTAGAGGCTGAAAGTATTCACTGGACTGTAACTTGTTAAAAGTAAGCATTTAAAACATTATGCATAAAGTATTGCATAGTTACTTATAGAAATATTTGTGATTTCTATTAATTTAATTTTCCCAAGCAATACTTTAACTAAGAAATCCTACACTATATTAAATAACATTTTTCCTTGACATTATTTCAACATATTCTATTTGCCTCTGCAGAAAATATGTAATTGCTCATTCCATTCTTTGAAAGCTGTGCTCAGACTTCCAAGCAGGAAGTCATGCTTATTTCAGTGATTGTTCTTTTCTTCTTCTTGACATTGTAATAATTGTATACCTGGCTGTTGCTATTATATTTCCATTAGTCTAATGCCAGGCAACTCCAGTTTCATAAATTATGACATTTACAGGTATTTTTCTCTAACATTTCAAAGAATGTGAATCCAAACCAGAGGAAGTGTATGTGGAAGCATGGTCCAGGTATCGCTTTTAAATCATATTTCCTACGCACATAACATTACAATAATTAGTTTCCTGTAATTTAAGCATTTGGTCACAGTGAAAAGGATCATAATTAGTTAAAGCACAGTGTAATTTTACTGATATTTCAGGACGGAGTGTATATTTGAATATTCCATATTTCCATGGCAGATCAGTGGCTTGCAACTGGAAGGCTGCAGTTTTGATGGAAATCGACTTTCAGAAAATCTACATGATTCTCCCAGTGTGTCATCTGTATTCCCTTGTTACATGGCCTGGATTCCACAGGTACTAAATTATTAAAAAGCCCTAAACATTCAAGACCCATAATTTTCTTTTTTTCTGAGTAATAGCTTTTCAATAGGATGTTACTGAACTGTTTTTTCCCCCCTCATTTTAAAATAAAAATTATGATCTTAGGGATTCCTAGAAAAAATCTAGGAAAAGCAGTTGCCTCTTTTATGTAACCCAAGAAATTTTTGTCACTTTGTCAATATGTTTTTAATTATTATTTTGCAGGTAAAGATAAGGGCTTTATTTCAGTTATATACTTGTTTTAATTTTTTAAAATAAAAAAGTAACATATTTTCAAAAATATATTTAGTAAATATATGCATGACTTTGGAAGTTCATTCATAGAATATATTTTCTTCAAATTTTGAACAGAAATATATTAAAATGTCACATCAGTAAAGAGATACAGAGAACATGATGTGTTCTGTAAGCAAAAAAAGCCTTACCTCTCCTGCCACTACTTGGTAAATGGTGTTAGATGAAAGTGTCATTAAGTAATCCAAACGGTAAGAATTGTTCCTGGTACTGTTTTCTGATTACAACAACAATCTCTGTTAATAAAGGAAAAAGTTGCCTAGCAGCTTCTTCAAGTATGTGTAGCATTAGCAATTCATGTAGTTGTATAGCTAGAAAGAAAACTTGTTGTAGGATTCATCTCGTCTAAATGTAGCTATCTAAAAGTTAATTGCACATTATGAATTACTTATTTTAGCTCCTTCTTTAGTCTCAGAAAAAGATAGGCATCTCAAAAAGTTAATTCCATCCTCAGGTAGCTGGAATCAACCTCTGACCAGACATGACTGTAGAGAGAGCCTAGACCACAAACTGAGACAGATAAAGTTAGGTGAGGAGAATCCCACATAGAGATCTAAAAGAAAATATTAAAAAATATCTACATCAAAAATCAAATATATAGAAAATGAGAAGTACGGGTGGCTGCATTTTTTTTTCACTTCTCTATTACAACAAATAAAATCAGCAGTATGTAAAAAATGAAAAATGATGCCACTTTTTATCTGGTCCCGTACACATTTTCCCGTCCAACAAATGAAATTGTTAACTGGAGGAGTTTATTGTTTGGCAACAGTGATGTGCCTGTCAGTAATCTAGAGAACTCTCAGAGTTTGCTTTTGAGAATGTTAGGTTTACTTAGAAGACTATTAAAGAAAAAAATACACTAGACCAAGTAATTGACATTTCAATTATAATATATCCTTATTTTTCAAGCACACAGTAATGATGAGATTTGTGGTAATTTGTGATAGATATTATGCAAGGAGCTCCATTGCTACCACACTGCTGTATCCCAATAGCACTTTTTTTGAGTTCTCATTGTTATTTCCAGCACTGGTGTATTACAAGTTTAATGGTCCAGATTTAGACTGAGAGCACAGCAGCTAAATAATAGCAAATGTCTGCACTACTGTTCCCAATTTTGATGGATCATAAGAAATTGGAAACTAAAAAATAAAACCAAAACCATTTATAAAGTAGACCAATGAAAGAGTGCTCAGTTCTTTAATAGCTTAGAAGGTTTGTTTTGTTCAGAGAAATAAACAGGTTCCTAATTACCCAAAAGGTGCTACTTGAAATAAATAAGAAATTATCAGACATTTTTATATACATACACAGAGGTGGGAGGAGGAGAATGGCAATATATGCTGTTTGTAATGGTAACACCAAATGCATCCTCAAGATTAGAATTATCAGTAACTCTGTCTTTATTTTGAAAAGCATTTATCTTATATTAGAGATCAAACAAATTCTTAAAGTGCTTTTCTGAATAACATTCTCTTCAGAGATAAGATCCAGATGTTATATGTGACACCAGTAAAGAGATTTATCTGAAAACACAGGCAAGTGAGAGTTAATTAAACTGCCTTCAATATACTTCGTATTTGAAATTAATAGCAGAGGAAGTCGTCTTTGTGTGGGAAAAAATATAATTATTTTAAAACAGAAGCCTATACTTGTCAACCGAGTGCATCCTTCCAGGATAAAGATTGAGAGGTAAAGCCATAGTTCCAGCCATTGTCCTTGCCAAAGTAGGAGTGAAGCCATTTAATGCAGCTGAAGGCTGAGCTGTTATTCTTACATAGTACCATGCTGTTCACCTATATGTCACAATATAGAAATTACTATCCATGCATTTTAAAGTAAGTTAATTTTTCTTCCAGTTTCTAGCTACATGCATGGCAAGAAAATAAATTTTTAAATAACACCAGTTAACGTATATGAGTGAATCTTTTTATTAAAAGGACTTAAATAAGACAAACTGTACTAAAAACAAAGGTTAGAAAGTCTGTAGTGGCAAACTGAGATAGGTGTGGCAAGATTCGTCATTCTACCTACTTTAGATCTCTGATGCGATCATTCTATGTCAGAGATAGCCAAAGTGCAGTTGATGAAATATCCCCCTTGCAAAGAGCCCAGATGCAGATCACAAATCAGGCTGTGTTACATGAGGAGCAGCAGGGCTAATCTGCAGGGACGGAGGAGGTGAGCTGGCAGAGGTTGCCGAAACCCCAGACTCTCCTGGGATTGCAGCATGGCAGGTTAGCAGCGCCCTGCAGAACAGCACTGCCACTCCCCAGGACCCTTCTCCCTGCTGGGAACTGTTTGAGAGTGTCCTTGTCCACGGTTCTCTGAAGCGTGTGGAATGGGATTTTATTTTTTAGCTGTGTGAAGATTTTGGTATGCAGTTCATAGGATTGGGAAGTATGCTCTGTTACATACTGTATTCTGTTTTCATTTTAACCAACTGGATAGAAAATGTAGAAGCTTAGTTATGTAGTATTCTTAAGAATTTTCTAAAGCCTCTACTTGGTTGGTATTCCTTCTCCTTTGTAGCCTGGATCAAGAGAGACTATTTTCTGCAGTTTATCAAAGTGTCTAAATTTGGATACTATATCGCTGGAGATCATTCTTTTCTCCTATTTTGTTCCCATTTAAAATGGTAACTAAGTGGTGGTTTGTTGACAGGATGCATGTGGTCCATATTCTCCAGAGGAATGCATATCTTTACCAGTCTACACTAGTGTGGAGAGAGACCATGTGGTGGCAAATATTGATGTGCCATGTGGAGGAAACCAAGACCAGTGGATTCAATGTGGAGCTGCTTTATTTTTAAAAAATCAGTAAACTACAACTGTATTAAATTAACTCTTTAAGTTAAGAATCATTTAAACATGTCAATTGTTTCTTAATAAACAACTTTAGTCTCATTACTTATTATATAGTTTTAAAGAAATTGTTTATACATTCCCATTTTTTTATTTTTTTAAAGTATATAAAATTAATTTTACTTAAATTGGAACTTCATTGTATCTTTATGAGATGTTGTAAAAGTTAACATGGCGCTATTCAGAAAACTGTTAATTTTGGCTTTTTCTCTAGATTG